TTACATGAATGATGAGATGTACACCTATGATTGATGCAACATACTTATATGGAATGCATGAACCTATCAAGTGCACATTACATGAAATGTAATGCTTGTGTTATGCCAACCTAGTAAAATTGACACTACTATTAAATATGCAATAAAATGAATATACGTACTACCTATTAAGATGCCTATGAAAGGCATGTATCATTTATCAATATGTGCATAACATGATATACATGTATTATCCATTGATATAGATGGGATGGAATAGTCACATTATCCTATTATGATGTGCATGGGATGGGATACATTAAAAATCAAATGAAAATGCAAAAAATGAAACATCATTCAAAAAAAAAAAAAAAAATTTTTTTTCTAAAAGGAAAAACATTTTTTTTCACATGAAATAACTAGGACTAAAAAAAATTTAATTTTTATTTAGCCAATAAATAAAGAATTTAAAAAAGACCTTTAATTTTTTTAAAAAAAAAATTCACTTTTTGCCTATTGGATAATGCTAAAAATAAAAAATATTTTATGAAAATGCAAATTTTGGATAACTACCAAATGAATGAAATACACATCAAAAGAAAAAAAAAACTTCAAGAAAATGCTTTTCTCTTATTTCTACAAAAAGGTAATGCTCTATCGAAGGCTAGTCCCCTAAGGTTCTATATGCTGAGTGAGGATTTGTTCATCTAAAGGTTTTCAAATTGTTTCTCACTAGCGTCCACACTAGACTAGTAAAGCACCACAATCCTCACCTATTACAGGCTATGAACGGAAATGATTCAATTTGTGTAAAAGTATTTCGCTAGCAAATGTGGAGGTTATTACCTCACGAGAGCGTAACTACTTCACTTTCTCTTAAAAAGGATGGAGCTCGGGCATAGAGCCCATACATATAAATTCATATGCAAAGTGTGTGCAGAGTAAAGTATTAATCAAAATAACATAAATAAATCATAAACACATAATCAAAATAAAAGTAATAAATAACATATAATTTATTTTATTTATTAACTTGTATTCATATATATTTTAAAAAATTAAAATAAAGAGAATTAAATTAAATATCAGATAAAACCAATTAAATCCAATAACTATTAATAGCGTATAATTAAAATTTTGGCTTGACTCTCAAATTCTCCAATGAAGTCGTTAAGCTGTCGTAACGATTTTAGGACCGCCAGACATAAAGAATTTTAAAATCAAGAAAATAAAAGGGAAGTCTCCACCAATTTGTTTTAGGATGTGATTGATCCCCCAAAAGTTTATCTTTTCAAAAGATAAATTTTGATCTACAAAAAACTAAGTTAGACTCGAGAGTCAGTTACGTGTGGGGAATGATTAGCACCCACACAATGCCTATAAATTGGTATTATTTAATTATGCACTATTTTTTATGTCAGATAAAAATTATTTCAATTTGAATTTAATAATAATCTCTTTCATTTGAAAAAATAAAAATTTTGCTAAAACTCTTTATTTATGAGTATTGAGAAAATCTTTAAGTTAAAAAATTATTTTCAATTTTTTTAACATCTAGGTAGAATTTAAAATAACTCTTTTCGCTTAAGATTCAACACAACAGTTCTTAAAATGAAATAACACTCTTTATAGAAGATTATTGTTGGTGACTCTCCAACATCTAGGCAGAGTACCAAAAATTATTTCTTTCGGAATGCTATTTTTATTTTATTTTATAATATGACAAATAAAATGTATTGCCCTTTTTTTCATTATAGAACATTTCATCATCAAGTAGTAAATAAAAATTAAAGATAGAAGACTGCAGACAACTACTAATGATAACACGCTAACGTATGTATGTCCATGAATGTTTTGTGGGATGAAATGCAATTTTAAAGTTGGGTTTTTAAGTATAATGAGATCACCCCGACTCTTCAACATCTAGGCAGAGCTTAGGTGTGACTGTTTATATTTAAGATCCCATTTTTATTAGTACTTTTTATTTAATAATCCCATTATTAAAGCAAATTAAGAATTCGTGTGAAACAAACTTAATGAAATAAAGTTTCCTAAATAACCCATCATCTAAGCGGCATTTAGGAACAAATCATTTCATGTGAGATTTTCACACATAACCTTAAGGTTTCGAAATAGATTTAAGGTAAGGGTTTAGATCGAGGTTTTAAAGATTTGGTGACTTTCGGATGATGATTCGGGAATGCGTACCAAATTTGGGGTTTTAGAATTTTGGATTTTAAGGTTTTGGACTTTTAGGGTTTAAGATTTTGGATTTTGGGATTAGGGTTTTAAGTTTCAGATTTTGGGGTTTAGAGGTTTTAGAATTTTTTAGGGTTTACAGTGTTTAAGGTTTCGTTTTTATGGCTTAGGGTTTCGTTTTTAAAGTTTGGAGATTTACGACTTAATTTTAGGGTTTGGAGGTTTGGGGTTTGGATTTTTAGGGTTTGAAGGGTTTAGAGTTTAATTTTAGGGTTTAGAGGTTTAGGGTTTGAAGGATTTAGGGTTTCAATTTTGGGGTTTATTCTATTATTATTTTTTAAAAAAATGTGAACATCTCTAAAAATTTTCAACATTTAGATGGACTTTCGGAGTAAATTCAATTTTTATGATTTTTTTGAAAATTAATTAAAAATTTTCATATATATATATTTATAAAAAGTTATTGTTATTATTATTATTATTATTATTATTATTATTATTATTATTATTATTATTATCCTTTTTATACCATTTTTTTATTAATTAATTTTTATAAAATAATTCCCTAACATCTAGGCAAAATTATTTTTAAAAGTATATTTTTATTTCCTCCAACATCTAGGCAGAAAAAATAAAAAAAATTATTCAATTTTTATTTTTTTATATTATTATTATTTTTTTAAGCATTTTTAGTAATTTTTCAGTTATTATCCTATTTTGTTTTCATTTTGTTATTATTAAAAATAATCAAATATTTATTCTAACAAATTTAAAAATTTATCATGCATAAATATAAAAAAAATACTCAAAATGACAAAAATAATAATATATAAAAAATTAGAAAATTCTAAAAAATTTTTTTACCTGAATTGGACCATTGATCGGTCCGATCAACGCTCGTCTGAACCCGTTCGGAGGTTCAATTAGCTGTTTGGGCAATCTGACGATTTAGACCGGTTCACTGGTGGATCAATTGGATCGGTTCAAGGCTGGCTGATGTGGGTCGTGGGTCGGGTTACAGGGATCTCGGGTCAGATCCAGGTTGACGCATGGATCCCTTTAGTCCAAAACAATGTTGTTTTAGGTTTTTTCCCTCTTTATAAAAGCAAATTTTTTTTTACTTCATTCTCGCCCTTCAGCCCCAAAAACAAAAAAAAAGGTCAGAGCTCTAAGAAAAGCTTTGAGGCTCGATCGGCTTCCAATCATCAGTGGTCACGTCGTCGTGCCGGCCACTGTGCCTACCGCCGTCGATTGGTTGCCAGTAACCGCCTTCGGTGATCGAAATCTTCCAAATTTTTCCTAAAAACTCCACCCGAGTTCCTAAGTCTAGATCTAATCTCCTTTTCGTGAGAGACAGCTCCGATCAACGTAGATCGAGATTCGAAGTTTTTAAGTTCTTTTTTTTTTTTTTTAAGAAACTCCAAACTAATGATCTTTCTTTTTTGTTGCAAGTATGTCCTTGGCGCTGGATTCCTCGCTGATTCGATGAGGATTGTGGTTTTTTTGTTTTTTTTTTTGTTTTGACGGAGGTGGGTGGGTTTTATGTATGGTGTTTGGGTTTTTTTTTTTTTTTTTTAGTGTGGGAGGCTGGGACTTTCAGGGTGAAGGAGAGCTGGGTTTTTTGATGTGTTCGAGAAAGGTCTCTTCTCATTCTGAAATGGGAGAAAATTAAGGCTTTAAGGAGATGAGTATTTGGGAAACAGGGGGTGCTGAGAGGGCTACAACATCTTGGTGAGGGGACTGGACAAGGGGTGGCATGATGGCTAAGGCAAGGGGCGCAGGTGGCTAGGACAGGAACATGGGCGGCCGGTGGTGTGCACGGCACCACTGGCACCCCAGTCTTTTATTTTTTTTTATTTGTCTTTTCTCTTTTTTTAAATTTTTAAATAATTTTTAATTTTAATTAAACCATTATTATTATTATTATTATTATTATTATTATTATTATTAAACAAAAACTCAAAATAGTAGATCCAAATAAAATCGATGTCTACAAAATTTATGTTAAAAAGGTCTTGCTTAGAAAAGAAAAAAATAAAATGCAATTCTACAACTTTTTATTTCTTTAATTACCAGTCCTTATTAATTTTTCTCGAAGATGAGCATCCACCAGCCCCATAAAAATTTACCTTGAAACCATTTGGTTTAGAACGTTTTACTGCATGATATAAATGAAATTATATATAATGCTGATGCGGTTCACACTTCACAAGAATAAATTTGGAAACATATAATAATAAAAATAAAAGACATTGATATTTAATTTGATTTCATAATCACAAGTTTCATTGAGTCTTATTTCGAATCATAGAAGATTCGGAGAAATTTTCTTTATCTTTGAACTGATTCAGCGACATCCTCAGACCCTTGGTCCGTGCATTTTGCAGCATGAATTGAATCGATTGGATGACATTATTCCTGGAGATTTTAATCAGTATGCCAAAATAATACATCGTAGAGATGGTAATTTATACTTACTAGAGATAGCCTCTTTCTTGCAACACATAATGGCTCCATCAAACATTTCCTGAACCCTATATGTAAATTTGAAACCTGTATTCAGGACTTTTTTTATGCGATAAAATATGAGAATTGTCAAATTTTTGAATAATTTCGTATGATTAAAATTAATTTTCAAGATTTTAATAGGAACAGTTACTCCTGTCACCCTGAATCCATCACTGCGTATGCTTAGAGTGACTAATTGAATTATCAAACTTCAATAATTTTACTGAAATAAATTAAAATTTAGTGATTCAATTAGAACTTTTATATATTAGATTGTACGCCATACTTCTTTTTAAAAAATTTTTTGCTGAACGTTGGACAAGAAGCTTGGTTGCATTACACGTATCCCAAAACAAACAACTATAGTGAAGTCCATACTCAATGAAAACACAAGCATCCAAACATGAAATACAGCAGAAAATACATCAATTTTCAAGTTATCAGACCAAAATAATAAGCTTCATGAGCCGCGCTACTAATACTTCCTTCTTTAGAATCATAAAATCTTCAAAGGAACTACTGCATCATCATCAACCCGCAATTGATAGAATCATATATCTATATATAAATATCCTCAAGCCCTTGGTCCCTGCAATGTAAGAAATTGAAACAATCAGTTAATATTGTTCCTAAAGATTTCGAACCATGATGTCAAATTAACCATGCTAGAGACTAGAGAGTGATGATTAGCCTTACTAAAGAAACCCTTTTTCCTTGCAGCTCTTAATAGCTCCATCATACATATCCTCAACCCCGCATTTAAACTTGAAACCCAAATCCAAGAGTTTCTTTGATGACAAACCAGGCAGTTTAGTACCTTCAATATCTGTTAGGTAACTGCCAAGAAATAAAAAGTTGTAAAAATTTTCTTTTAGTCCCGAGATTAAGATAACATAAGTTTAAATTAATTGAGAAAAAGCCAAGGGAAAAAAGCCTTTTACTCACTCTTTAATTTTGTATTCTGGATATTTAGTTGAAAGAATTTCAACAATCTTTTGAATAGTTACTGTGTCCGAGGAACAATTATACCTTCCTTTTGCCTCAGGATGCTCGAGCAGGAAAATAAGTGCCCTTGACAAATCATCAATGTGCACCATTGCCACATTGAGAAGAAGACTATAGTCATCCCTACTCCCTGAAAAGTTCATAGTATTTTAGTAAATGGTTCTCTCTGTTGAATCAATAATCACTTGAAAAAAGAACTATTCTAAGTTAAATTGATTCAAGTATTATAATTTTTGGACATTAGAAAGACAACTTCAACTTATACCAAGGATTGGAGACAATGCTGCTCGGACTGAGCCTTGCATTTTTGGACAGATGAAGGGACCGAGAACCATAGGTGGAATGACCGTCACCAGATCTAATCCATGTTCTGCTGCCAATTCAACAACTGGCTTCTTTGTCAAAGTCTTCGAAATTGCATAAGAACTTACAAATGACTTAAGTTCTCTAACATAATCCACATCAGTCCAATAACTCTCATCCATCCTGTCCACATTCTTGTTGTTGAAATACAGTGCGGATACACTAGAAGTGAAGACAACTCTCTTCACTGTTTTTGATCTTAAGCATGTCTTCAAGATGCCTAGTGCTTCATCGATTGACCTTTGGGTCACTACTGCCTCAGGCTCATTGTCTTGGAAATCCATGGGAGCGGCGACATGGAGAACTCCTTTGCATCCCTCAATGGCTTCATCGAAACTCTCAGGAGAACTAAGATCTGCTGTGAAGATTTTAAGCTTTTCATCTGCCCCAGGTAGGCAGGTGAGGAAGCTAAGATCTCTCTTGTTTCCTGATCATATTTCAGCATCATGTTTAGTGAAGTTTAACTGAACTCCATCGTCTCATATTAAAGAAATTCAGGTTTTCTTTGGGGGGGAAAAGGGCCTTTTTTTTTTTTAGATAGCTTGAATGCAACAACTGACATAAAAATAACTGAAATATAGCTAGTCAAAAACCAATTGCAAAATCATAAGCAGGGATTAATGCTATCCTGTACCTCTCTTACAATAGAATCTCTGTCCCGTAACAATTTCAATTAGTCCAAATACAAAGATTAACTCTGCTCACTTGTTTAACATTAATTTTCTGAACCTGAATTTAATTTATACAAAGTACTCTATCCATGAATTTTTTACACCTAAACAAGAACAAAAGATCTTGATATAAACTTAATACTAAATTGCATTTTTTATTAACCTTACTAAATTAACTTTGATCGTACCTGGGTCTGCCCTAACAGTTGTATGAACAGAGTAACCCTGCTCAAGAAGCACCTTGATCAGCCAGGAGCCTATGTAGCCGGTCCCTCCTGTGACGCAGACATTTCCTCTATCTCCTTCCATCTCCCGTCTATCTCTCTTCTTTCTCTAATAGGAATGGGTATTTGCAATTCTTGCCTCAGTAGTGTTGTTTGTTTTCGGATGTAAATTTGGTCTTAGCCTCTCACTAAGTTTTATAGTATTCAAGTGAGTGATTGATTCCCCTCGTGAACGTCAAGAGTTAGGCGTCTAGTTTTTCCAGCTTTTTCGGTAGTCACCGTTGCCGCCGCCTTTTCTTGACCCGTGTATCCATTTGTGATTCTTTTCACCGGCTGTAGCCGGTTAAAAGGGTAACTGCTACTCTTCTTTGCCAAGCTCCTAGACCTTGATGGCTTGATGCGTATGCAATGACGATTAGTGGTTAAAATGCATTATTAGACGGGGAAATAATATATAATTAAAAAATAATTATAATCTAATTATAAAAAAAATTAACAAGAAAAAAAAAAAACGTAATCGTTCAAATTATTTGAAGAACCAAAAAACCCCAAATCACTTCTTTCTCAAATTATTTACTAAACCCTAACCTTTCACCAAATTACCTTCATGAAGTGATTAATTCAAACAAATGAAGGGGTCCACCAACCAAAGCAGGAAGAACCATGTGCATGAGATTTTTAAATTCTAATCCCGGTGTCTTTTTTTTTTGGCAAATTGTAGGGCTAGTTGTCTTTTTCTGCACAATTCTTGATCATTCCATATACTTTCATCGTTTAGGACTTTATTTTATTCTTCCTTGAATATGGCTCTTGCAGTAGAAGTCCACAACTCGTTTTACGGTCTTGGAATTGTCAAGGAGGAAGTTTAAAATGCCAAGTGATGAGGTCATCCTTCTATTCTATACTGTTCCTTTACATAGATATTAATAAAAGAAAAAAAAAAGGTTTTTTTAAATGAAAGAAAAAAATATATATTTTTTTATTCGGATAATTAAAATTAAAAAAAAACATATAATACATAAATATATTTTTTTAATTATAACTTTTTTGTTATAAAATAACATATAATATATAAATGTATTTTTATACTATTTAATTTGTATAAATAAATTTTTTTAAATAAAATTGAATATATTTAATATAATAATATGTATTAATTAGTTATTGATTTATTTTTAATTTTATGTTTAATTTAGTCTTTAATTTATTTTGATAATAATTTGACTTTTTTTTTATTATTAAAACTTAAAAAATTATAAAATATTTATAAATTATAATATTATATAAAATACTTATAAAAAAATATTTTTATAAGAATTATTAGTTATATAATCAAATTTAATATCATAATAAAAATATAAATATAATAGTTTTTTATAAAAATAAAATTTTTTCAATTTTCTTTTCTTTAGTTTTTCTTTCAAATTCAACTATTAAAAAAATAAGATTACAAGAATTACAAAGATTATTGAAATTTCTTTTTTTTTATTTCTATTACTTTATTTTATTTTTCTTTATTTTTCTTCTCCTCCCTTCAATTCAAATATAGTATCAGTCAATTATCTCTGCAGGGGCTTGTTGCGCCTTAACGGCCATGAGATGAGCAATGAGAAAGACTTCCGCCAATCCGTAAACAGTTGCTTCCAAGCTATCAGGTTAATTTCGAGCCTATCTGCTGACCCTGGCGGGTCCGTAACGCAGCCGATGTGTCTGATCTTGCTATCTGCCCGTATGTTCATATTTCCAATTGAGCTTCCAGTGATCGGACAGCCCAAGTTTAGATGAAAAGCTGGTAAGGAGTCCGCCTAAAATTTGGGTTTTGTCTTGGCCTGGACCTAGCTTAACCCAAACCCATGTGCATCTCATTCCTTCTCCTCCGGAATTTGGATTTACTCCGTTTTAAAATTATAAGCGAAAGCAAAATTGAAAAACCTTAACCGTAATTTTCTTTTAGGACTTGAAACCCAAGTAAAAATGGCATAACAAGGACTCTCCTTTATGCTTTAGAATTGCACATATAGCACAAAAAACATTACATTTGCCGTTATCAAACCTAGAGTTACACCTAGATAACGAGCTTCATGAAATTTACCACATCCGTTTTATAACCATAGAAAGCTTCACAGAATTTTGATCTTTATCCTTCAAATGATTCAATGATATTCTCAGGCCTTTGGTCCCTGCAAGTTGAACCAATCAAAGCTAGAGATGGTGATTGATTATGCTTACTAGATAAAGCTTTTTTCCTTGCAGCACTTGATAGCTCCATCATACATATCCTCAACTCCATAGTTAAACTTGAAACCCAAATCCAAGAGTTTCTTTGATGACAAAGCTGGTGTTTTTCTACCTTTGGTTTCTGCTAAGGAACTATTAATAATAAAAAAAAAGTTGAACAGCACTGCAGCAGCATTAGAAGAGTAGACAACTCTCTCCACCGTTTTTTATTTTAAGCATGCCCTCTAGATTCCTAGAGCTCCATTGATTGCCGTTTTGGTCACTATCGTCTCAGGCTCTTTGTCTTGGAAATCATCATGGGGGACTCCTTTACATCCCTCAATGGCTGGTGAGACTTTTCATCTGCTGCCGGTAGACTGGTATGGAAGCTAATGTCTCTTTTGTTTTCTGTTCACATTTATGCACCATGACTTAGTATAGTTTGACTGAACTAGCAGTGGTTAGAAAAATGAGATTTCTTGAGAGGAAATAAAAAGAACTTTTGCTGGTTTATGAACAACTAACAAAAACGAACTGAAACAGTCATTAAACCAGCAAAAATCAAGCATGGCTATCTCTGTCTTGTATTTGATCTTCAGTTACATGGTTCAGCTGCAATGTAAATCCTAATGCGTAACTGAACTCTTTGAGACCACAGTAATTCTTAAAGTTCAAATCTCTCGTCAATTAATCCCACTAATTTATTTTTCTACTGGGTTCGTTTTAGAATCCGTTGAATTAAGGTACTATGAAATCTAGCTAAAATAATGGGCAAAGATTAAAAAGCTGTGAATCCTTGTTGGCGCCTGCTGTAGAAGTGTAAACAACTCATTTTACTGTCTTGGAATTCAAGGATGCCTTTAAAATGCCTAGCAATCCTTCCATATCTCGTTTAGTCACAATTTCTTCAGGCTCTTTGCCCTTAATGTCCATTGCGTTAGCAACATGAAAGACTCCCATGCATCCTTCAATGGCTGCTTCGAAGCTATCTGGTTGGTTGATTGAGGTAGCTGATATCTCTCTTGCAATCTTCCCATATGTTCAAATATGCTGTTAGAAATCCAAATTTGGGTTCGGACCAGCGATGAACGTTCAGAATTGGAGTCATCTTAAGGGACAGCACGAGTTTAAAAACAACTAAAAAATAAAACCGGGCCAAAAACTTAGGCCTCTTGTGGGCTGAATCGATGTTTAACATACAATGGTCGGGGAGTGCCAACTTCTAGAATTAAGAACTATGACCAAACAAAACCTTCAATTATGTAGTGCTTGTCTATACGTCGTGTCTTATCTATTAGCGGCACTTAGCAGTTGTTTTTTATATTATTTTATTTGGAATAGTTGTTAAAAAATACTTTTCCTGCATTAATTTTTTTTTCTCAATTTAACAAAAATTTAGCCCTTTTTCACTCGAATTACTTCCTACTAAGGGAAAGTAGAAAAGAAAATTAAAAAAAAAAAGAGTTTTTTTATCCCTCTGGTCTTCTGTCTGGCTACATGGATTCCAGACCTTAGCTGGAATCCCAAGTCCCATCTTATGTCAATTAAATCCCATAAACCCGAGATTCAAAATCCCACCTTCACAAAAATCTCAGAAAAAATCTTTTTTTTTGTTGGGAAAAAACCCTCTTCTTTTTTCTTGTTTCACTGTAATCCCTGTTATCTTATTGACTGTTCTCAACAGGAACACCTCAATTATTTCTTCTTCTAAGTCATTCGGACAACCTTAATTTGGACTCATAGTTTTTAAGCAGTTACAAGCACTGTCTGAAAAAAAAAGATCAGATTTTTATTTTACTGTTTGTTATTTGTTTTCTGGGTATTATGCATAGATCTGGAGCAGCGATGGCGTGGAACGTGTTCAAGTTTTGTACGGCTCTGAGGGGTCTGGGCTCGATCATGATCCTGTTGGTTTTAGGGGTCGTAGGTGTCACATACTACTCCGTTGTTTTGACCAATTATGGCCCAATTTTGTACGACGGTGGTCTCCATTCCCTTACTGCTGTTGTTGTCTTGATCTTATTTCATTGTTTGGTAAGTGTTAAAAATTAAACTTTTGTGTTTTTTTGGTGTTTCCTTTTTGTGGGTTTAGGTTGATTTTTTTTTTTTTTTGTAATTTCACTAAAAATCCGCTCCATTGAAATTAAATTCAACTAAGAAAAGTGATCCTTTAAAAAAAAAAATGGTTCTGAAAATATTCAAGATTTAATTTTGTGTTTGCTTACTCATTAGTTAGAGTGATCTTTCTGGATCTTAAAATTTCTTATTTTTTGTCCTAGATGTTATGAATAATTAAATTATTCATATTTCTTGCTATTTGTTATATATCAGAGAAAAGAAAGAACAAATCTGAAGCATTGTTAGAACACAATGCTCTATCTTGGACCTTTATTAGATTTAGTTTCAAAGTTTTAATGCTAAAATAATAAATTGGGTTTTGGGATTATGATTAATGTAATCACATTGCTAAAAGAATGTATAAATAATCGATGATTAAATGTATGGTGGAAACTGACTCTGAATGTGGAAATTTTGATGTGATACTGCAGTTGGTAATGCTGTTATGGAGTTACTTTACTGTTGTTTTGACTGATCCGGGTAGTGTCCCACCTAACTGGACACCAGCTACGGATGAGGAGAGAGGGGAGGCTGATCCATTGAATGGTTCAGAGTTCAATGGTTTGCGGCCAGACCCTTCAAATCAAAGAATTCGATATTGTCGGAAGTGCAACCAGCTGAAACCACCTCGCTGCCATCATTGTTCTGTTTGTGCGTTCTCCATACACCAAAGTTCTCTGATTCTTTTCTTGATTTGCTAATAATATTGTTATTATTGATGATCAGTACCGTATTGATTTCATTGTTTCAGGTGGGCGGTGTGTGCTAAAGATGGACCATCATTGTGTGTGGGTTGTCAATTGTGTTGGTGCCCTAAATTACAAGTATTTCCTTCTTTTCTTGGTATGTCTACTTTATTTACGAATTAGTTTTTCATACATTTTTTAAAGTCATACTTGCTTTATTCATCTTAACTTCAAAAACTTCCTACTTTCAAATCTCTTATGGAAGCAGAATTGAGCTGTGGAGTGTTTCTTTTCGCTGTGACATTTTTTGCACTCTGCATTGATTATAGTAAGATAGGTTATGATTGCAATTCATAATGCTCGTTTTTCTTGGCATTCCTTTGACTATGGTTTTAAACCTTGATGCAGTTTTACACATTCCTCGAGACTAGTCTTGTTACTTTGGCCTTGTTGCCACATTTCTTAGCATTTTTTAGTGATGAAGAAATTCCTGGAACTCCTGGCACCCTTGCTACCACTTTCCTTGCCTTTGGTATGGGCTGCTTGGACTGTTCTTCTGACCTATTTAACTTTTTTGATTTTGTACTAATGTATAACTATGTTATCTTGTTACAGTTTTGAATCTGGCATTTGCATTGAGTGTCTTGGGGTTTTTGATCATGCACATATCCTTGGTGGCTGCTAATACCACAACCATTGAGGTATTGTGTTCATCTTGAATTTTAGTACCATGTCATAATAGTTGGTGTTTTCAGCATTTATCATTATTTTTTAGTACCATGTCATAATAGAGAGAGACATGCTCCATTTGATATGTGTGAATTTTTTTACCGCTACCCCTACCCAAAAGAGGGAGGAAAAGAAGTAAGTCAACTCAAATATCATAATACCAAAGATTAACTGAATATCCCTAATAAGAATTTAGGACTATCTTTAGGCCAGACTAGTGGTGTCTTCCTCCTCTTAGGGATTATAATGCAGAATAAATGAACTCAAATTTACTGACAAAATCTGTGATTGTCTTCTGAGCAGGCATATGAGAAGAAAACCACTCCAAAATGGCCTTATGACCTTGGTCGGAAGAAAAATTTTGAACAGGTTAACTGTTTTTCGATACATTGCTTTTCCCTCGTTTCTAAACATGTATTTCTTGCATAAAAAAGCCTTCATATGATGGTATCTAACAATATTTTGCTTGTAATTTTTGTTCAACAAGTCCTCGTGGCATTTGGAACCTTTTTCTTTTGATGCCAAGCTTCTGAATTTGTGCTAATATTAGTACTTAGAAGTTTTAATCTGTTGCCGAGTAACAGAGTCTGCGATCTGGCATGTTAACCGTCATCATTGTACTCATGTTTTGGTGCTTTGGGGTTTGTCTATATACAGGTGTTTGGAACAGACAAACGATACTGGCTCATTCCAGCGTATTCAGATGAGGATTTACGACGAATGCCGGCACTTCAGGGTCTTGAATATCCATCTAAGCCTGATTTTGATTCCCAGGAGTTCTAAAAAGTAAAAGCCTCCTCCACGCCAGGAAATTTGGATAATTTTCTTGTAATTATAGATACCGAACCCTCGCACGCTGCTCCCTTTGTATTCTAACAGGCATATCACTCCGTGGCCAATTTCGGCTTCTGACTCTTCATTGCCACGGCCATCTTTATGTAGAAATAAAAAGTAAAGGGAGAGAGACAGAGAGAATATCTGGGAAAGCAGCATATAGTTACGAAAATGGTGGGGGGGCTGATGGTCTGACAATTAAAATTTTAATTTTATGTATTATTTTCTAATTATATTTTCTGAAGTCCGGGAACAGTAGGTTCAGGGTATCGAATGTACCATTTCACGTTGTGATGTTAATTTAGTTCTTGTAGATTTGTTGTACGTACTGATTGGAAATATAGAGAATGCATTTGGATCAACATTTCTTTTCTGCGTATCATTCACAACTGGAAAAATTATGTGTTTATGTCATTATTTTTTAATTTTGTTTTTTTTTTAATTGTAATAATGTTGTTCCATTAAAATCCAGCAAAACTCCATGCTTTCCTGCAAAAGCTCTGATCAAATATAAATTTCAAAATCTATAAAAATAAGTAATTGCATTTTCAAGAAATCCTGGGGAAATTGAATTTTATCACAAAATTCTTGGGAAACTAAAATCTATATGTATTTCTCATGTATGTTTTTTCATTTAAAAAAATACATTTTCTGAAAAATAGAAAAAAAAGTGAAAAATCCAATTGGTTGAACTTTGATCAAGAGATAAGACCGTTGTCCGAATAAACAAAAGCCAGAACATTCTAGCTTACCGAAGAAAGTGGGTTTTTAGAGGGACACGTGTCGCCTTCTCAAATATTCTTAGTTCCTAATTTAAGGTCGGGCTGCTCAATCACGAACAAAAACGAAAGGTTGTTCGTTCTGGTTCCGTCTCTCGCATTTTAAAAGCTTTTCTCCTCATATTTTTGGAATCCTCTCGTTTCACCTGGTAATCATCTCTTCTTTTTTATCGCTTTAATTATATTACTACTAACCCATTAAGAAATTATACAATCGAGTTGTTGATATTTGAGTAGTAATGTGTTTATATTTGATACTTTGATTGAAAATTGTTGCTACGTAACATAACTTTCCTGCAATTTCTTGTGGCTATTGTCGTTTGAATTGCCCAGCTTGTTAAGAAATTTTGAAATAATGGAGCGATTTTGTTATAGGAAATGAACACTTCATCAATTAAAGGAACAACTACGTGAAAGTTTCTCGTTTTGATTAGTTTTTGTTTTTCCATCTCTTTTTTTTTTTTGGGGCCCTGCATAAGTAAGCCTTCAACTGTTTGTAATAATTAGCTAGTCTAATATTAATCTGAAGGAATTAACATTTCCTTTTAAATAAATGTGATTCCCAACAATTCCCCTATAAATTATCTGGTAATCTTTTGGATTTATTGAGCGATCATATGTGGAAGAAATCTCCCGTTGATTGTTAGATGATGGTTGATGGAGTTGGTGATGGTCTCATTTATTTTTTAAACTGTCCTCTCTAAGGAAGCTAGTAGATAGAGTATAAAAGTTTATCATTTTGAGTTTCTTTACTTTGGTATGTCTCCAAATGATTTAGTTTCAAACTTTCAATAGTTACTGTTGAAGAAACTTTCTATTTTGAATCTTTAATGATTTTTTGAAAAACTTGAATACAATGACAATGATCTTTCTATAATTTTATGTTTTTCCTTTTCAACACTCTTATTGTTCAATTATTGAGGTCATCTCAAAGAAGTCTTTTGTCGAATAGCATCAATATTATTATTATTTTTTTAACAGTCATTACGCTGTCTCAGACAGTGCTTACAAAATGCAGAGGGAAAGAGAAGGCAGAAATGACCACTTTGATGTGGGCAAGCCATTTGATGCTTTCCAAAGGATTGGCAGCTTTGGATCCCTTAGAACCATGATGCCTGGCCTATTTGGAGGCAGAGATCCTTTTGATGACCCATTCTTCACTCATCCATTTGGTAGCACGTCTGAATCTGGCATCTTTGATCAAAGTGCTAGTTCTCGTGATACACCAGAGAGCAGGAGATCAAAGGGAATAGTTATAGAAGAACTGAACTCTGATGATGAGGAAGACAAAGGCACCACTGAATATGCTGGTTTAGGCAAAGAACCATCCATCGAGCACCCAGATGACGGTGCTAATGGTAAAAGCCAATTTGATTTTGGATGAGTAGCATTTATATAAGATCTTTGTTCATTTATATAAGATATTTGTTTTAGCTTTTCATTATTTGTTTCTTTAAGTCGTAATAATTTTTATGGTATATCTATCAGATGGGAAGATTCAGAATGTGAATCACACGAATAACTATGACAGGGTAGAAGGAACAAAGTCACAGGCTCGCAGCTGTAGTGTTCAGACTTCCAAAGTCACATATGGTGGTACAGATGGAGCTTATTACACTTCTACAAAAAGCAGGAGGACAGGGAGTGATGGTGTAAGTAAATTTCTCTAGGAGTGCTCAATTATAATCAAAACTCTCCTTGTTTTTGATGTTTTTATTGGTGTTCCAGGTGGTAATTGAGGAGAGAAAAGAAGCAGATAGAACAACGGGTCAAGCAACTCATAGTATTTCTAGAGGAATTCACAATAAGGTGATTATTACATTTTTTGGTTTTACTAGCCATAATTTCTAGGGAACAATTAATAAACTGGTTCAAGCTAAACAATGCTGTTTTATATGTCAATTGTTTTATGAAATAACTGGAAATTAGGTGTGTTCTAAAGGACATATCCTCCATGAAACCTCGCAATATACCATTGAATGTACAGTTTGTGGTATGATTTAAAAGTACCAATTTGTTTCATTTCCATATGCTTCATTGACATAATGAGAGTTAATTTCAAGCTCTACTTTAGAAATTGATGTTTGTTATCAGATATATTTTCATGCAGTAGTTTTTAGTTCTAACATGGGAAAACATTCAGTATGCCAGTTTAGAGTTTCATCCTATCAGTTTTTTATCTAACCACTAGTCCTGGGAGTTAATTTTGCTTCTAGTGTTTTTCAGTACTTTGAACCTTTTCCGTTGTTGCCTTTCACTGCTATGATTAATCTGTAAAAATGATAAATGTAAAAGAAAGGTTTTACTCTGGCTTGCAGTAATCTGGGCATTTAATATTGTTAGGATTTCCTTTCCTCATGCAGGGCCATTCTGTTACAAGAAAGCTTAATTCAGACGGTAAGGTGGACACAACACAAACATTACACAACTTGAATGAAGGTTTGTTCCCTGGTTGCTTACTGTGACTATTCAAGAGCATTGTGCTTGAATGGAACTGACATTGTCATATTGCACTGCTTCTTTATTAGATGAGCTTGCGGACTTTGAAGAGGCTTGGAAAGGTAATAGTCAGGTTCATTTGCCTGGTCGGAATGATGGTTTTAGCTTGCGCGCAAATGCTGGTAAGCATTTCTTTTTATTTAAACCTTTATGATTTATTATTTCATATTTGTGGAGGTCTTATAATTTATTGTTTTTTTTTTTTTCCTTGAGAGTATCATATCACTTTACCTTTTATATTTATAATAATGATGTTCTGCATAAAAAATCATAGAAGGTTTCATTTCCTGGGTTCATCTAAATATAACTTCCATATAATCAATGCCGTTTGGCATTGCCTTTTTAACTGTATCTTTCAATTTATCATGCTGCAAAAAATAGATGCCTTTCAGCTCTCATTCTCCATTTCAACCTCTGCATCGAATGGGAATGCAGGATCTAGAACTGATGAACAGATGGGGAAGCCAGTATGGGACAGTTGGAGACTTCCAACTAGGGAGCGGGCCCAGAACACCGGCGGTCAAGTAGCAGACACTCAAGCCAAAATTAGTACTGGGAGTGGGAGTAGAGCGAAGAAAATTGTTAGGATTAATATCGAATGAACCAATTGTATGACCAATTACTAGTTGTGGCCTTTAGTGTAGTATTGCTCATAGCAGGCTTTAAGACTATAATTTGTAGCCTTCGACTCGAATTTTCTTCTTTCTTTCCATTTTTTTTGTTTTTTTAACTTACGGAAAACTTCAACTTTGACGTCTTTATTCTTCCGGCCTCTGGGTTTTCAAGTTCGGGAAAGTCAACTATAAAGAAAGTTATTTTTTTTAATTTTGATTATAAAAGAAGAAAATTTGCGAAAAAAAGAAAGGTAAAATTATAACTTAAATTATTAATTTAAATTAAATAACTATTTTTCTTCCATATTTGTAATGATTGAAAATTTTAACATATGTTCTTTTTTCTCTTCTTGTTGTCTTCTTATCAAATGAAAAAAAAAAAAAAAAAAAGCCGGAAATAAAAAAATTCCTTCCCCTCCCTGGCTTTTTTCCATTTCCCTTTTACCAAACAGGGCAAAAAGCTTTGATTGTGCCTAAATCAATTTGAGGGAGACTGGATGAAAAAACTTTAGGGCTAAACGACGACGGTTAACACTCAATCGATTCTGGATGACACGTGGATTTTGGCCGTTGAAAACCGTTAAAATGATAAAATCTGAACACAGAAATATCTAAGAAGAGATTGCAGAATCTAAGTCTAAACCCACAGACCAGAGTTAAAGTTTCTCTGTGCGAATCTGAACCAGCCTTGGAACTCAATGTTGCCAATTATCGTTCTTCCCCAAAAATTGAATACTCCGAACGACGTAAACCAAATCCACGGCCGTTTAATAGCAACAGGTTTAATCAGAAGCCCCAGTCTCACCACCAAAATCGTCCTCTCTTTCTCTCCTTCTCCGCTCTCTCCTTTGGTCAACTTTGCTAGCTATGTCTTCTTCACGCACCATGCTTTCCGTTCCCCTAAACAATCATTGGACCCTTTTCTTTGGAGCGCTGAAATAAAGTCGAATTACCATGGGCCTGACCCCGAACAAGCTTTTGTCATACTCTGTTTGATGCTTCAAAATGGCGTTTGTTTTGATAAGTTCACGTTGTCTTTGGCACTTAAATCGTGTTCTCGTTTGGGTTTAATGAAGGAAGGAATGCAGGTTCATGGCTTGTTGAGAAAGCTGAATGTTGGGTCTGATTTATTTTTGCCAAATTGTCTTATTTCTATGTATTTACGCTGTGGGTTTATTGGATATGCGCGACAATTGTTTGATAGCATGTCTAGACGGAAGGATTGGAACTATATCAGTATCTAGAGCAAAAGAAGTTTTTTTGGGGAAAAGACTTGGTGTTGCTCTTATTGACATGTATTCGAAATGTGGCAGTGTGAACAATGCTATGTTGATATTTAAGGGTATAGAAGATAATGGTGTTGATCATTAGAATGCCATGATTGGTGGGTTAGCCATTCATGGCTTGGGTGAATTGGCTTTCAATTTGCTCATGCAGATGGAAAAGCTTCTTGTAGAACCTGATGATATCACGTATATTGGTGTGCTGAATGCTTGTGGCCATGCTGGCTTGGTGAAGGAAGGTCTGATTTGCTTTGATATCATGAGAAGAGTTCACAAAATGTTTCCAAAACTGCAACATTATGGATGCATGGTTGACACCCTAGGGCGTGCTGGGCGGATAGCAGAAGTGAGAAAATTTATTGAGGAAATGCCTATTGAAGCCAATGATGTTGGAGAACCAGCGGCTAAAAATTTAATTACGCCGTACTCTTGTAATTCAAGTTCCTATGTACTTCTATCTAACATGTATGCTAGTCTCGGTATGTGGAATGCTGTCAATAGGGTTAGGATGATGATGAAAGAGAGTAACCTGAAGAAAATTCCCGGTTGTAGTTAGATTGAACTAGAGGGAACTGTTCATGAGTTCTTTGTGCAAGAGAAGTCCCATCCCCAACTTATGGAGATCTATTCTTTGTTGGATAGTTTGTCAACAACCAATTCAAAGGTTACACCTTGTGGACATCATGGTTAGGTTGGAAACTTACAACCTGAATGCCTGCAATTCAAATGTTCATAACAACGAGCTTACTTCGTGTACTTTTACCAACTTCATATGCTGCCTTATTTGAAATATTTTGGAACTCAACTGTATGCTGTTCAATTAATGTAAGTGAAATTTCAGTTAATTCTTCTTCAGTACATATTAATGATATATATTTTTTTCTTTTCTTGTTATCTATTCTGTTGTTTTGGTAACTTATTCTTAACTTCTAGACTATCTACCTTACTGCCATCAGCATTTTCCTTTCTAAATTCCAATTACGCATTCAGAGAACGAAGATTGTGGACAATATACATGCTCTTTTGACGCATTTGGTGAAAGCCGCGAGTTTCTTTTCCCTGCTTGGAGCGTTAAGAACGACCTTGGCTTGTATGAACTCGCTTCTCAACGACCTAGTGGCATTGGCTAAATTTACGGGGAAGGCATGACCCAGACTTAAAGCTGTTAAGCATCAGTTATTCTTAGGTAATCGTAAAAGGATGAAAAAGACCCTTATAATATATGTGTGTGTGTGTGTGTATATATATATATATATATATATAGAGAGAGAGAGAGAGAGAGAGAGAGAATGGACGAAAAACGTTCAGAGGTATCAAAAGGATAATCGGAAAAGGCAGGTCCCCACAAAAGTCGTTTTGCCCCTTTGCATAAAGCCATTGAAGGTTATACTAATTGTAATTGATTATGCTAGTTTCTCTAGTGTGCTAGCACACCTATAGGCTATAACTAGTACAGTAATACCATATGAGAAGTTAAACTGTTCAAATGCTAAGTGGTCCGTAAAATGCTTGCTAATTCAAAATGCAGAGACAGGCAGACAGCTTTACAATGTTTGAAGGAGTGTGGTTGCTTTGCACTCTATCATTCGACTCATTATTTGTCCATAAGCTAGTTGGCCTTTCCGGTGCTACAACATTTCCCACAAAATTCTTCTTTTAATTTCTCTTTGGGTCATCTTCCACATTTCACGTGTTGGGCATGCAGCATGCTTCTGTCCTGGAAGGAAGAAAAAGGAAAACATTCCACCATTTTTCCAATCAACTCTGTGCGTCAAGTGTCTTTTCAAAAAAAAAAAAAGAAAGAAAAAGCACATCACAGATATGTCTTATCACATGTCAGTACAACTAGGGTTCAAAAGTTACCATGCGGGAGCCAGGATTCAAAATAGCCAACATCGTTCCTTCCATTTTCCCTTAGTTATATTCTAAACTTACTAGCAAGTCTTTTCTCACCAGGATAATGAAGCAAAGAATAGAGAAAACTATGATTTGCCATCAAGAAGACTGGAAGAAGTAGACAATGAACATAAAGCAGTTAGATACAGTTGGAAGGCATGTTCCCCTACTTAGGGTTCTTTTACTACATCCAATTACAACAAAATGATGCATACTTAACATTCACAGAGATTCCAAGTCCTCAGGAAAGGACACTGCAGTTAGATAAGATTAGTAAAAGGAGTGCTTCAGTTATGACATCAACCGGAGGTTAGTAATAGCCGCATCCTGATTCCTGCCTCAGGTAACTAGAAAAATGAGGCAATAACTCGATTTACTTCAAGAACTGCTCATTAATCCACTTAGTTCTTGTATCACATTGTCCATGGATGGCCGGTGGTTCGGAGATTCATGGGTGCAAAGCAAAGCAATTCTACCAAGTTTAGTGGCCTCAGAATCTGAGTACTTTCCCTCAAGATTCGTATCAATAAAATCTTCAACTTTGCACGACTCTGCTGCATGGCGGATCAGTTGGGTGATTTTTCGTTTTCCACTTAGTATCTGATATACAATCATACCAAATGCATATACATCACTCTTTTCAGTGAAACGGCCGGTAGTAGTGTACTCAGGAGCAAGGTATCCCATTGCAGCACTAGCTTTGAGAGTGGAGAAGACAATGTCGTCTGCAAGGAGTTTGTGCAGGCCAGAATCTGAGAGCAAGGGATTGGATCGGTTGTCTATAAGCACTTTCTCTGCAGATATATTCTGGTGAACAAGAGCAGCTTTGCTTCCTTTGCTTCCATGTAAATACCCAACACCTGGTTAGGAATATCAAATCTCAGCATGCATAAAATTGTCTGAAAGGAACAAGTTCAAAAACATGAAGTTGTTCCAATAAACTCCTCTACAAGATTCCCAAATTTTACTCAGAAAATATTACATTATCCCAACTATATTATATTAATTTTTTTACCCACTTTTTTATATAGTTTTATAGATCAAAAGGACCGAACAAAAAATATATATACAATCTCAATGAGCTAAAAGATGACTGACCTCTGGCAATGCCATAAATGATAGAAATTCTGTTGGACCATTCAAGAACCTTCCCACTGCCCTGCTTTACATCAAGATACTGAAACAGATTTCCATTGTGGACAAAATCATAGATGAGAAAGCACTCCCCCCTGCCCTTCGAACAGCAAAAACCTCTCAGTCTCACAAGATTTTCATGCTTCAATGAGGTCAATATCTTCAAACCTTGCAGAAACTCAGATTCATCAGACTTGCAGCTTGTCTTGGCAATGCATTTTACTACAACAACAGAACCATCTCTTAGGAATCCCTTATAGATGGCTGAGAAATTACTCTTCCCCAATAAATTCACTTCTGAGAAGCACTGGGTTGCACGCTCTACTTCCTCTAAATTGAACATAAAGCTTTCAAAAACTTCCTGAGAAAACCCATTCCCACTCCGACCTTTGTCTAAAGGGTCCCAACCATTAGAATACTCTAAACTAATTAAGGGGGAGGCGCTTCTCCTGTTAACCTCCTTAACCTGGTCAGTGCTAAGCCGACTATCCGAAGTATCAAAAGCACTCCCGATTTTCTGTTTTCTCCTACGGTACCATGCAAATGTGAAAAGTGATACAACTGTCGACACAAGAACAACTCCAACAATGCCAGAAATCACAACTATTTTTGAACTTCTGGATGGCCTTGAACAGTTAGTCTTGCTGCAGTCAGGTTGTAAATTGACAGACTCTGGGATATCTGTTCTGTTAAGGCCACTGGGCTTGAATGGTTCAGGTCTGTTTCCATCTATCTTATTCGAATCTGCACAATCTTTCAGGTTAGAAAACCCAACACCACATAGGCCAAGATTGTTTTCATATTGGAAACCAGAGTTCAGCCTCTTCAAAACTGCATTGC